TTTCCATATAGAAGGCATTGAAGCATTGATTCATGGGTGAGGTTATTGAGCACCTAGATAGAGTCTTTGCTCCCAGGATTAAAAAGGAGCAGGGACTAGGGGTCTCCTTTTTCAAACCTCTTGTAGAATGGAAAGAAGCCCACCCTTGTGCCATTCACAATAACAGAGTACCAAGTTGTTTAGAGGTCCTCCATAATTCCATGTCGTATTGAAAAATTCCACTGAAAGCCCCATTCTCCTTAGGATAATGCAATGTGAAAGGACCAGGGAAACTCTATCATATGCTTTAGCCATTCTAGCTTGAATTACCACATTAGCACCAATGTTAGGCTTCTTATACCTTGGACTATTTTCTTGAGCAAGCATGATATTCTCTGAGATGCTTTCTCCCTTTTAACAAACCTGTTTGATTGGGGGAATGAGCCTAGGCAAAGATTGGGGATATCCTTGTACCATTTAGCTTGGAATGATCTTATTGATGAAATTGCTTCAAATGAGGCCCCGTACTCAGAAAAGGAAAATATGGAAAAATTCCAACTTTGGGGAGCAGAACTAACATTGGCATGAGTCATATGCTAGGCATCTGTGGCCACTAAAGAAGGCTAAGACAAACATTGAAGAGATCTGTTTAATAATCTCCCAGCAATGCTGATAGAATTTGCCACCATAAGCCATTCGGCAGGAGCACTATTTGGATTCATTGAGAAAGACCCACAACTTTTGACTTTCCTCCATTAGGTTTGATCTTTACTGATGGTTCATTATTTCCTCACTGGTGACAAGGTTAGGGATACAAGAGAGCAGGTCTTCCCTAACTATTCCCCCAGGGTCAGTGAACAAATTCTGAAAGTGTTCACAAGCAGCTTCTCCAATACACTCATCCCCCTGAATCCACTCATTGTCATCATTTCTAATTTTGTGGATAAAGAGCTTTCTTCTTCTACCCCTAATCAAACTGTGGAAGTATTTGGAATTGACATCACCATCTTTGAACCAATGAAGCTGAGTCTTCTGCTTAAGAACAGACTCTTCAGTCTTCAGATGATTTATATACTGGGCATTGAGATTGTGAAGGGCTTCTCTATCAGTAGGACTGTTAGTTTGAGCCCAGAGTTCTTCAGCTGCCTTGACTTTTGCTTCATAGTCCTTAGCTTCTTGGAAAATGTCTCCATACTCTTGTCTTGACCATTTGCTTAGTTCAGAGGAGAGGATTTTAGCTTTCTGGTGAAAAACCCACATGGGGTTGCCATAGATCTGAGTATTCCAAACTGCTTGAACAAGAGGCATGAAGGTTGGATTGTCAGTCCAACAGTTCAAGAATCTGAAGTACTTTTTAGAGGACTTAGGCCTGACATGCATCTCCATGAGAAGGGGGGAGTGATCAGATCCTGAAGAAGCAAGGTGAGTAATTGTGGTGGCAGGGAAAGATGTTAGCCAGCTGTCATTAATCATTCCCCTGTCAAGCCTTTTCCAAACAATAGCACAGGGGCCTCTTCCATTAGACCAGGTGTATTTTGGGCCATAGAATCCCATATCAATGAGGCCACAATCTTCTATCATGCTGAGGAAGTCAATACTTTTATGGATTTGATAGGGAAGCCCTCCAATTTTCTCTTCAATGGATGCAATAACATTGAAATCCCCAATGACACACCAAGGAACATGAGTTGTGGTGGATTTGAGTCTTAGGTTTTCCCACAGGGGTCTTCTCAGAATAGGTTTACATTTGGCATAGATGACTGAAATGTGAAAAGTCTCAGCAGCTTCCACATGTCTTAATTCTAGGGTGACCTGTTGTTCATCAGAATCAAGGACAGATCCTTGGAATTCCTGATCCCAAAAGATCCATATTTTGTTGTTGACATTAGAGGTTGCATGATGCATGGACAGTTGGATTTTGAAGTGGTTGAGATGGGTGTCATCCAGGAAAGGTTCCAGGACAGCAATGAGGGAAATATTGTGGAGCTTTTTAAGGATCTTTAGTCTCTCAAGGGCACCAGAGGTCCTGATACCTCTTACATTCCAAGTGAGTGTACTGATCATTAAAAAAGAGAAGGAAGTTTGTGGTTTGGTGGTGCACTGCTGTTTGCTGCAGCTCTGCTTCTGGTATACCTTGGTGAAGGTCTCATTATGGATCTCTGGGATAATCTTGATTCATCCTGGTCAGTTGTACCATTGACTGCCTCAATTAACATGGCACAGTGTTGGTCTTCATCAGAGGTCTCACTGAGCTCATTGTCCCCCTCTAAACCACCACTCATATCATCTTCTGAAAGGAGGGGTCTGTATTCATCAATCTCAGGGGAAAATTTGTTCAATGGGCACTCTTCAAAGGGGGCAGCAACCAGGACATTGGCAGGGTCTTGGTTAATTAAGACTGAGGGGACTTCTTTGAGTTTTGGATTGTGGGAATTTTTTTGTAAAAGAGGTTGGGATAAAGAGGGGTCAGCATCAGAATCCTTGTAAGTGTGATCCTTTTCTTTGGTGGCAACATGACCTGGTATAGGGGTTGCTGAAGGTTCAGAAATAGAGATCCCTGAATTTCTTTTTCTGGCCTGCCTCTTCTTCTGGCTTAGCTTAGTCTTGGACTTGGGAGACTGGATGGTGAAGTCAGCTGCAGCATGAGCTTTTCCCTTTATCAGTTTTCTGAGTTCATCATTGTGCTGATCAGGGGGTTCATCTTCAGAGCTAAGGATCTCAACATTTCCTTCCTTTGTTGATAGTTGCTGTTGCACTATATCAGTTGACTGAGGAGTGGTAGCAGAAGGAATATGGGCCATCCTAGAGTCAGTCAATTGTGTATTAACACACTCATGCAAAACATGAGGAAGCCCTCCCCCATTAGGAGCCCCTTCCTGTCTAGTCCTAGGTATCTCCTGACTAACTCCATTTCCTCCTTGATCTTCAATAACAGAGGGAGGGGGAATAGGGGGAATGGGGGGGTTCTGGATTCCAGAATCATCACTCCTCTCCAGTTGAGCTGGAGGATTGATAGGATACATACCTGTATGATGAGGATCATGAGAAATGTCCTGCTGTTGGTGCTGACTGGAGCTTGGTTTTGGCATATGGACCTGTTGGTATTTCTTGTTTTGTCCAGTACCTTTAAAGCTCTTTTTCTTTTGGGTTTGCCACTCTCCATCAGTTCCAGTATTTTGGTGCTCAATATCTTGCTGAGATCCTGTTGCTTTGGGTGGTTCATTTTGGTGATGCCCTCCTTTTTTTGATTTTGCCTGCTGTCTGTTTCCCTGGTTTTGCCTGCTTGGTCCAGCCTCCTTGTTGCTCTCCTTTTGATCTGTTACTTGTGCTTTTTGGGTCTCCTGTTGCATTTGGGAGAAAGCTACTTTGACTTCTTCCTCTTTCCTTTGTTTCTTTTCTTCTTCTTTGATTCTGATTTCACATAAGTACTCAGAATGCCCCAAATGCTTACAATGGGTACAATAGGCTGGAATATTGTCATATTGAACTTCCAACCATTCCCCATCACCATTCTCATCTTGATTGTCATCATAGCCTAACCAGACATGATGGGGTCTTTCCTTGGTGAGGTCAATTTGAATCTTGACCTTGGCTACACTTCCCCTTGTCTTTTGGAAAGAGGCTAAGTCCAGGTAAAGGGCTTTGCCTATAGGGGAAAGGAGGGGGTTGAGGATCTCCATATAGTAGAGGTGCCAGGGGAGTTCAGGGATGACCACCCATATAGGGACAATGGGTGAGTCCTCATTGGGTTTGAAAGCAGGAGACCAGGCTTCCAGTTTCATCATTTGCCCTTGAATATACATGAATTGTTTGCCCCAAACAGTCGAGTGATCATACTCATTGTCCAAATCTATATATACTGTTCTTGCATTAAAATGGGCAATCTTGACCCCACCTCTGAGCTCAGTTTGGGCAATGAAGCTTTTCCTGATGACTTCCATTCTTGGCATAGTGTTAGAGAATTTGCCTACTACTGTGAATTTACATCTATCAGCAAACTTGACCATGTAGGGTTTAGGGTTTAGGGTTTTTTTTTTTTTTTTAGGCATAACCTAGGGCTAGTTTTTATTTATAAATAAAACAAACAAGCACAATGTCATGAAATCCTAACGGATGTAGGAAAAGGAAATATAATTCTACATAAGACCTATTATCAAAATTGAGCATTAAACTCAAAATTGATATCACAAAAATTCTTCTAAAAATTGTATCAACACTAGTCCAAGAAAATAAATCACAGCAGCCCACTCCACAAAGAAAGAGACACGGCCAGCCCAAGAGAATACTTTGCGCCGACAGCCCACACGCATTGCAGAAATAGCCATGACCTGTTGTAAATTGCAATTTAAGCCACCTCTCGTCAGTGCTACTGATTTGCACATGCAGCCTCCCTTGTATCAGCCCAATTAACATTGCTACTGCTTTGCAGAAATAGCCATAGCTTGCTGTAATGTCTCCAATCTCCTGAAATTGCAAATGTAACCACATTGATCTCATAATTGCCCATTGCATAAAACCCAGTCCAATACCAGCAGTCCAGCAGCCCATATCGTTACTGCTTTGCCCGAACAGCCATCTCCTTGCACCATCAGCCAAATTACCCCCATTACTGAATTTAACAAATAGCCACACATATGTAAAACATATGTATTGGCTATTTGTACAATCTAATAATGAGTCCTTTCCACAAAAGCCCATATACCCAGTTGTCCAGATGTTTAACCCAGCCCAGATATCTACCATTTTGCACTTAAAGCCATCTTTCGCCCACCTGAAATTACAACAATAGCCAAAATTTCTTCCCACCTTACTAAAATACAGAACTAACCTATTTGTTACCCTTATCTTCACCCCACACGTGGCTATATCTCTCCAACACCTGTAAAATACTCCCCCCCATTTCCTAATACACCGACAATCCCCACTATCCACAAAATATCCCCAAATCATTTCATCTCTCCTCAACCTCCTCAGCTCCACCTGAAGCTCACCTAGGTAACATCGACTCTCTTTCTCTTTGTTTTGTGTTTTATCTTTCTCATTTTTGCTCCAATCATCTGTACTAACTTCATTTCTTCTTTGGATATTCCTGTATCTGCCTGAGTTTGTATGCCTATCTGCTGCAACTTTGACTTCTCGATTTCTCCGCCTGGCTGCTGCAACATCTCTTTGTAGAAACAGAGATATATCAGTATCGATTCTCTCCTGAAGCTCCAGTAGGTAATAGCCACTCTCTTTGTCTTTCTTTTTTACTTTTTTGTCTTCTTCGTTGTTCCAATCGATTGTACTAACTCCATTTCTTCTTTGATTCTTCTTGCATGTGCCTGGATCCATATATCTCGTGTACTGAGAGTACATTTGAATCTCATGAGTCATCTGTGCAGCTGCTACAACTGATGTGAAAGCCCTAAAGTACACACCCTCTGGTACCAATTCATCACCTTGCTGAAAAAGGAAAGCTTTGGTTGGATTTGTAAAATTCTTTTCTTTGTAACTTGCTTGTAGTCCATTCCATGTATTATTTTCTTTTTTCTTAGCTGTTTCATTACATGTATGCATCATCCAGTAATGATTACTGTCCGTCAGACATGTAACTGAAAAGCCCCTATTCTGTGCTTGTTTGTTTTTTATGTATTCTATTCTTGCTTTATTTTTTGATATCTTGCTGTATGCTCCTCTGATTTCTTGTTTCTGTGTTGTAGACTTGTTTGTGATTCTGTTATAAGCTAGATTTAAGCTGTCCCCGATGGACTGAGTACATAGTACTAATACCACCATCTGAGTAAACCTTAAACCATAGATTATAAATAAAATCACTACCTCTGAATGCCATCTCTCTGATTCTGATACCAATAATGTACTTATCTCTGTAGTGCATTTGTTGATTTTCCTCTGCTTTTGTTGTTGTGATGCTTTTGAGTTCAAATCTGTACTTGTGCTATATTCTAGGTGTAATTTTAGACCTTTGGAATGAATGACAAGCATTAATACCACCAAATGATCCTCCATTATACCAAAGAATAATACCAAATTCACTAAAGCATCAGAACAACAAATTCTGTGTTGTAAATCTTGTATCTTGTTAAATCTTCCTGCCTGATTCCCTAGTTTCCAATGAAAAACTAGTCTCTTTGCATGCCCAATTCTCTTAAGCATTCTGGGCCTTTTTACTGATTTTAGAATCCTCCAACTATAAGTNGCATAATATCAGGGATCATTTCCTCTTCTGTATCTTCTTCATCTTGATCTGACCACATCCTTCTCCTTCCAATTTGTTCTTCCTTGCTTTTGAAAATTTCATATCTGCATCTTCTAGGTTCTCCTTGTCAGTCACTTTTGCAAGTGTCAGGTCCACCCTAGTATCCTGAGATGGAACTTCTTGCACAGAAGTATTTGTGAGAACTAAATTATCTTTAAATGCTCTTTGTACCCATGAGGCAGTTGTTTCCTTGTTCTGATGATCAGTTCTCCTTATTTCTTGGTGCTTTGGCACTTCCTTGCTCTTGTGTTTGTTGTTGTCTGCTGGTGTTGAACTTCCTGCTGGCTCTGTTACTGGCTTTTTGTTTCCTCCTCTATTTCCTTTTTCATTCCCAGGTGAAGCCGGAATAAAAATAGGTGCTGTAGGATTCAAAGTTCCAGGTTCCTTTGTGTGTACACTTGTATTCTGAACCATCTGCTCTTCTACCAAGGCCAATTGTTTGTTTGCATTGTCTTCACTTGTTTCAACTTCTAGTACTGCAAACTTATTGTTTGTCTGCATCTGCTGAGGCATCATGGAGACTTGATTATCCACTGGTATTACTTCCTTCCCATTTTTTGTTCCTTCCCCATTCTGCTTATCTTTAGCTTGATTTCTTTTATCTTTCACCTCTTTCCACTGAGTTCCAACATTGCCAACAACCTTCCCACTTGATAGAATCATCAAAGGGTTGTTATTCTTACTCTTCTCCTTATCTACACCAGGCTGGTTTTTCTCATTCCTATTTACCATAAGCTCAGGATGCACCCTCCAGCATTCCAACAGATCATGCCCTTGTAGCTTGCATTCTTTGCAGTATTTAGGA